CCCTTTGGGGTTTCGTGAGTGTTGTGGTCACAATAAGCACCGGGAAAACATTGCTTTTGTGTGATTTTTTTTTTAAAGTTTGCAAAAACCTGGGCCCATGGGTTGGAGGGAGGAGTGGTTTTCGGGGGCAAGAACTTTACTGTGATAAACCCAAAATCCTCGAAAAATTAGGTCACCCCAAGTTTGGAGGATGGCAGGGCATTGTCCATTACTAGCGGTACTTGAGACCCCAATTTTTTTCGGATTTTACCCCTTCACACTTGGGCCAAAACTTCATTAAACCCCACTGGGAAAAAATTTTCCCCTCGTCCCTGCCTTACTATTAGATTCCAGAACACACCCAATTACTCTCATAACATTGTTTTTCCTGAAAACTTGGGATTTTAAAATTTAACTAGTAATGGTTTCCTTTGAAACCCCCATAGTTTTTAGCATAAAACTTTTGGTGCCTGTTTTCATAGGCTTTTTCCCTGGCTTTCCCTTTTTTCCTTGTGTAATAAAAGGCCCTCTTTGGCATTTTCTTAAAAAAGAGGCCTGTTTCATCAAAATTAAAATTTGTTAGGTTTCAGTCCTTGCCTTAGTACCCCTGGAATTCAGCACTATTTTTCAGCCCTTGGGGTCCGAACTGGCGCCTCCCCCAGCCTTACCACACTGTGTATGCCAGTCGGTTCTTAAATCCCCAAACCCGCCTTTGCTGGCCTTAATTTCACTCATTTTCCCACTTTTTGAGGAATTTTCTTTCCCAAACTTCATGCAATGCCTACCCTTTTCAAAATAAACAAAAGTCTAAGGTATTTGTTTAATTGTTTCTATTTACCCACCCCAATAATAATTCTCAACCCTTGGTATGGTGATTCTTTTTTTTCAGCATAGTTACCCCCTTTTGAAACAACGATCCTTTATTTCTTTTTTCTTGGTATGTGGAAAAAGGTTGTGTAGGGTTTCTTATAATCTGGCAGTTGGGCCAATTTTGTCCCACTTTCTTTTGTTCAATGTGGTTTTCTTAAATTCAATCGTATTTCTCACCTTCTTTCCCACAGGTTGGCATGGGAGTTTCTTTGGAGCCATGGTAGCTTTTTTATACGACTTGCAAGACTAAACAAAAGGGAAATATTATAAATATTTCGTGGAGCACGTGAGGGGACTTCGCCACTGGTAAACAATGGCAGATGGCGCCGCCCCCGGGCTCATGCCTTGGGTAGACCCCGGACAAAACTACGACTCAGGTAAACCTATGAAAAGCGAGTCCTGTTTATATAAAATACCTCTATGTTTGGCAAAATTTTTGATTCCCGGGGAATCGAAAAGGGGGGACCACTGTTTTATACACCCCCCCTTTGGGTTTTCTTTATTTTCTTACAGTTCTTGTTCCCTTTTATTTTTATCTCCATGGGAAAGTGGACAGAGTTCTTCTGTAAGCTATGCGTGTTGTAAGAGGAAACAAAAAATGCAGGAGCAAGGGGAATAACCCTTTCCTGAAAAATTTAAAATTTAAAAAAGAGAAACTTTGTTTTTTTTTTTGAGCCCCCCTGCCTTGATGGGATACGGGGGTTTGTTAAAAAAAAAAAAAAAGAAAAATAATAATAATGCAAAAACGTAAGGAGAAACTTCAAAAGGCTGCCAGTGTGGTGCCCCATCAAAAAAACTTTGGTAATCAATCTTTTCACCTGTCTAGATTAAGAGTCTAAAAAGTTTAGGTTAAAGTTCCCCAAATGCTTCAGCATGATGTGGTTTCTTCGCCCAAATTTATATAACAATTGTAACCTTTCCCAAAGAATTTGCATTTTTTTTTATTTTTTTAAGGGAACCCCCTGAGGGGGGAAAATACGCATCCTGAAAAATTTTTTCGTATCCAGAAGAAAAAAATTGATGAACAACATTGTATCCTGAAAAAGTTTTATGGTGGAGGTTATAAGCCGAGGTTCCCGCTGTATTTAAATTGAAAGTTCATGAAATTTTATAAATTTTCCCAAATTAAAATGAAAATTTGAATTTAAAATTTTCAGTGATTCCCAGAGATAGCTGGCAAAACTTGATATTTTTATGTATTTATAGGAAGAGTGGGTAAAAACAAGCAAGTGGGAAAAACTGAATTGGGTGAGAAAGTTGTTAGAAGTGGGAAAGGGAGGGTAAAGGGGAGTGGGGGCAAGCAAGAGAGTGGGATGACAGGAAAGAGTTTTGGGGGTTTTAAAAAAGCAAGTGGAGGGTATTAAGAGTGGAGAGAAATAATGGAAAAAAAGTAGGCAAGTGAGGGAGGGGGGGGTGGGTAAGAAGAATTTACTGCTATAGCTACCGTACCCCAGTAGGCTTATAGGGGGGATTTTGGAAAAAATGGGTTTCGCAAAGTTTGTTCCCTCGTGTATTCCCCTTTTTCTCATAGTTACATTTTACTAAGTGACTTTTGTGGCCCCAAAAGACTACAGTTCCTAACATTAAAAAAAAGAAAGAAGTATTGTACTGTAGTTTAATGGAAGAAAATTCTCTTGCTATGGATGGGGAAAAATTTAACTGTAGTGTTTTGTCAGTTTTTCTGAGTTTATAGCTGTGTTGTGTGATTTCCATAAAGTTGATGTTGATTTCTTTTTTATTTAAGCAAAATTGAAAGGAAAGAAAAGCAGCCATGTCTTAAAAAAATTTGTGGCTACTGTTAGTTTTTTTTGATTTTTTTTTTAATTTATAAGTTTACTGTATATTTTAATTTAAAAAAAAATAAGTAATTAGAACGTGGGCCCGACTTGTGTTCCCCCTTTGACATTTCAACTTAAAGTTGGATTTTTTTAACAGTTAATTAGTATGGGACACTGATCTGCACTTCCAAAAATGGGAATCCCCTTTAAAAGTATACATTTTTTTAAATTTTTTTTTTACCAGATGCATTCCCCTTAATGTATGATCATTCGAAATGCTGTATAGAGCTCACTTTGTTTTGTAGATATTGGTTAAAAATTTTTTGACAAATTACATTCTGTGTAGGTGCCTTCTGCTGTTTGTGCTGGATGGCTAGGGTGAGGTGTGGGGGAAGCATTTATTTAAATTTACCAATCCCTCCCCTCCCCTTTCCAGTTAACCAAGATTATCTTTCCATACTATGGGTGGGGCCCCCCCACTTTTACAGCGGTTAGATTCTGGGCTATGCTGCAAAGCAAAAAATTTCTGTTAAGTGAAAAATAGCCTTTTTCCTTTCAAATCAGTAAAAAACCCGATAAAATGTTTCACTGCAAATATTAAGTGAGCAAAAGAGTAGGCCTAAAAAATTCATGAACTTCACATTCTTACCTTTTTTAAAATTTTTATCCTTTGTTTTTTTGTAATGGGGAATTATTATTGTAGGAATTTGATAAATGAAGAATGGGTAAATTGAAACTGGCATAAGTGAAATGCTGTAAAGTGAAGTGTGTAAAATGGGGGTTACTTGTATTACCCGGCACGTTAATGTCCCCTTTAAAATTTAGGGGAAATGATGAGATAGTAAAGGTTTTTGGTTTGCTTGAAGCAAGAGAGGGGTGTGGTGAAAATGGAGGAATATAGGTGTGCTTTTCCCTAAAATTGTTACTTCACACTGTAATTTTTCATGCAGTGAAAAGTGGAGAGCATTGTAAGTTTTGTGTTATACTTACCTTGTTCTTTTTAATTAATTGTATACATTAATTAAACAGATTTTATTATATTTGTAGGGGGGAAAAAACCACTGATGAAATATTGGGTTTAAAAAATTTTTGAAAAAAAATTTTTTTGAAATTAGATTGGAATGTTATGGCACAGAAGGCTTAGTTATAACATGGGTTTCATGAAAAAACAGGGTTTCCAAAACCAAACAATAGACTTACCTGAATTTTCAGGAGCAATAAAATTTTATTTGGGGGGCCCTACATTTCCCCAGGGAGGTTCCTTGATGTGTGAGGGGGGGTGATCTAGGGGAAATTGGACTTGGGTCTCTTTCCTTGGATTGAATCTGAATGTTCCCATTCCCCCCCTTTGTATGGCTCCTGCAGGTTCGTGCTCTCCCTGAAAGTAATAATGTAAAATAATTTTGGAGCCTTGCATATTTAGTAATGTAATTTTTGTTATAAATTTTTGTTTAAGTGGGCTGTTATTTTTTTGTGTTCTGTAAAAATTCTTTTTTCAGAACACTTGTTTACTTCATAATTTTGCACTTTTGTACAGTTCCTCATTCTAGGGTTTTCAGTAACTTTTTTGGCCTGATCTATAAAAAGAAATAAAAAAACACCCTCTCTTTTTCCCAAAACCTTTTAAGCAGTGTTTTCCGGGTGAAATTTTTAAAGGTTTTCAGTCCCGAAAATTTCATCCCAACTTAAAGCTGTTTAAAAAAGTGTACAATCCCGGCCCCGGGGGTATGGTTTTTGTAGGACCCATTTTATCCAAAAAATAAGTTAAAAAGGCCCCAAACCCAAAAGGGAAAGAAAAAGGGTTTTACCCATGATTTTTTTATGGAAAATAACCCAACACCAAAAATTTGCATTTTTTTTTATTGTAGAAGGGATTCCAAAAAAGCAGATACCTGAGAGCAGTATCTTTTGGTTCCCTGCTTGACCTAGCTCTTTGTTGACCCTTGTTAAAGAGACAGCTTTTGTTTGCTATTTTTATATTAAATTTTGCGTAAATTTAAAATAAATCAAAAGTATTATTCTCCACCTCGCGGCCCCTCCATTAACCATTTTAATATGTGAAAGCGCTGAACTCGTATAGGCCAATAAACCCGGGAAGGGAGGTAGTCAGTTTTATTTTAGGAAAGAGGAGGGTAGCTCCAATTTTTTTTTTGGGTCAAGAGCCCCTTTACCAGCATTGGGGCATGGGTTGAAGTATCTGTTTGCCAGAAACCCTTGTTTAGCCCTTGTTTTTGATTTTTCGAACAACATTTTTTATTAAAAGTTTTTTCTTTAAAAAAACAAAAGTAAAAATCTTGTTAGTTTCCTTCTCTAAGGTGTTAACAATAAAACGTGACAACTAAAAGCATTGCTTTTGTCTCTAACTGCATGCAGCCTGGATGACTTGGTTTGTGGAGAAAAGGGAAATAGGAGCCTCCCCAAAGAAATGTTTTTAAATCTTCCAAAAAACCCCTGCCCCAGCATTAAACTTAGGCTGCCAGTTCTCCCTGGCTAATATAAACTATACACAAATAACCCGCACATAAAAGAGAGAAGCTTACGACGACGTTTCCCTCCGACTTGGACCATTTACAAAGTGACTTTGTAAATGGTCGTCGTAAGCTTCTCTCTTTTATGTGCTGGTTATTTGTGTATCGTTCCAGTCACGGTATTGTGCCTTTTTTTGCTATTAATATAAACTAGCGTTTGCCTACATTATCGGCCTATAGTCCTAATATTAGTTCACTAACAGTATAAACTACCTACCTCTTCCTTGAAGGGCAAATCTATCAATTAAGAAGTACCTTCCAACCACCTTCACCAACCCGGGTTCTTCTTCTTCTGTTGGGTTTATCAGGGCCACTGACAGCACAAGCCGTATCGAGCCCAGTTTCTCGATGGTACGAGGAAAAATTGTTGCCCAAGGCTGGGCGATGAGAGAAAAGGAACGAAAGTTCCTTTGTAAATAGAGATAGAAACTTGAAGTTTCCAATTAGATCTGGTGGACCCCCTTGCCAAGCCCCAGCTGAGAGGGACGCCAACACCCCCACCTGAGTTCAGTAACCGGCTTCCCACCAAAGACCGCAGAGCGGAAAAAATGGAGCTGGCTAAAGTAAGCCTTAGAACAGGTGCTCCTCCTGTAGAGTGCCCGGCGGGCAAAATAGATGAGGACAAGCGTCCCAATGAGAACGGGGAAAATTTGTCACTGATACTCAAGCGACAGAGAGACGTCCACACCCGACAAAGGCTCGTGCAGAAGTCTCCAGTAACTTCTCATTGTTTGTAACAACACTAGTCCTCTTGTTGTGGTTTATCGCCAACCCGGGTGTGTGTGTGTGTGTGTGTGTGTGTGTGTGTGTGTGTGTGTGTGTGTGTGTGTGTGTGTGTACTCACCTAATTGTGGTTGCAGGGGTCGAGACTCAGCTCCTGGCCCCGCCTCTTCACTGATCGCTACTGGATCCTCTCTCTCTCTGCTTCCTGAGCTTTGTCATACCTCTTCTTAAAACTATGTATGGTTCCTGCCTCCACTACTTCACTTCCTAGGCTATTCCACTTGCTGACAACTCTATGACTGAAGAAATACTTCCTAACGTCCCTGTGACTCATCTGAGTCTTCAGCTTCCAGTTGTGACCCCTTGTCCCTGTGCCCCCTCTCTGGAACATCCTATCTCTGTCCACCTTGTCTATTCCCTGCAGTATCTTGTATGTCGTTATCATGTCTCCCCTGACCCTTCTGTCCTCCAGTGTCGTCAGTCCGATTTCCTTAACCTTTCCTCGTACGACATTCCCTTGAGCTCTGGGACTAGCCTTGTTGCAAACCTTTGTACTTTCTCTAACTTCTTGACGTGCTTGACCAGGTGTGGGTTCCAGACTGGTACTGCATACTCCAGTATGGGCCTAACATACACAGTGTTTCAGTGTCTTGAACGACTCCTTATTAAGGTATCGGAACGCTATTCTCAGGTTTGCCAGGCGCCCGTATGCTGCAGCGGTTATTTGGTTGATGTGTGCCTCCGGTGATGTGCTCGGTGTTATGGTCACCCCAAGGTCTTTCTCCCTGAGTGAGGTCTGTAGTCTTTGTCACCTAGCCTATACTCTGTCTGCGGTCTTCTTTGCCCCTCCCCAATCTTCATGACTTTGCATTTGGCTGGATTGAATTCGAGAAGCCAGTTGCTGGACCACATGTCCAGCCTGTCCAGGTCTCTTTGCAGTCCTGCCTCATCCTCGTCCGATTTAATTCTTCTCATCAACTTCACGTCATCTGCGAACAGGGACACTTCAGAGTCTATTCCTTCCATCATGTCGTTCACATATATCAAAAATAGCACTGGTCCTAGAACTGACCCCTGTGGGACCCCGCTCGTAACAGGCGCCCACTGTGATGCCTCTTCACGTACCATGATCATTGCTGCCTCCCTGTCAGGTATTCCCTTATCCATTGCAGTGCCCTCCCTTTTACGTGCGCCTGATCCTCCAGCTTCTGCACTAATCTCTTGTGGGGAACTGTGTCAAAGGCCTTCCTGCAGTCTAGGAAAACACAATCTACCCACCCCTCTCTTCGTTTTCTTACTTCTGTTACCTTGTCATAAAACTCCAGGAGGTTTGTGATACAAGATTTGCCTTCCATGAACCCATGCTGGTTTTCATTTATAATCTTGTTCCTTTCCAGGTGTTCGACCACTCTCCTCCTGATAATCTTCTCCATGACTTTGCACACAATACATGTCAGAGACACAGGTCTAGTTTAGTGCCTCGTTTCTGTTTCCTTTCTTAAATATGGGGACTACATTAGCTGTCTTCCATTTCTCAGGTAGTTGCCAGTTTCAAGGGATGTGTTTGAAGATTGTGGTTAGAGGCACGCACAGCATCTCTGCTCCTTCTCTAAGGACCCATGGGGAGATGTTGTCCGGTCCCATCGCCTTTGAGGTGTCAAGGTCACTTAAGAGCTTCTTCACCTCCTCCTCAGTTGTTTGTATGTCATCCAACACTTGTTGGTATATTCCCTCTTGATGTTCCCTTCTGTGCTGTCTTCCCACAGCCCTTCCTGTCTCTACTGTAAAAACTTCCTTAAATCTCCTGTTCAGCTCCTCACATACCTCCTGATCATTTCTTGTGAGTTCTCCACCTTCTGTCCTTAATCTGATCACCTGGTCTTTGACTGTTGTCTTCCTCCTGATGTGGCTATACAACAGTTTCGGGTCAGTCTTGATTCTCGATGCTATGTCATTTTCATACTGTCGCTGGGCCTCCCTCCTTACCTGTGCGTACTCATTCCTGGCTCTGCGACTGATCTCCCTATTTTCGTGTGTTTCTCTGCCTTCTGTACTTTTTCCATTCTCTATTGCATTCGTTTTTGCCTCCTTACACCGTCGGGTAAACCAGGGGCTCGTTCTGGTCTTCCCGTTGTTACTGTTGCCCTTGGAATAAACCTTTCCACTGCCTCCTTGCATTTTGTTGTTACATATTCCATCATTTCATTTACTGGCTTTCCTGCAGTTCTCTGTCCCACTGGACCTCCCGCAGGAAGTTCTTCAACCCTATGTAGTCCCCTCTTTTATAGTCAGGCTTTTCCCATTCAACTGTTATTCTCTCCACTTGCAGCTCTACTATGTATTCAAAGCACAGAACCACGTGGTCGCTAGCTCCTAGGGGACTCTCATACTTGATGTCCTCAATATCTGAGCTGCCCAGGGTGAACACAAGGTCCAATCTTGCTGGTTCATCCTCCCCTCTCACTCTGGTAGTGTCCTTAACATGTTGGTGCATGAGGTTTTCCAGCACCACGTCCAACATCCTGGCTCTCCATGTTTCGGGACCCCCATGTGGCTCCAGGTTTTCCCCGTCAATCTCCCTGTGGTTGAAATCCCCCATAACCAGCAACTTTGCTCTGCTGGAGTGAGCTCTTCTTGCCACCTCAGCAAGTGTGTCCACCATTGCTCTGTTGCTTCTTCATTTTCCCTCTCTAGGCCTCCTGCAGTTCTGTGGTGGATTATACATCATTGCAATGATCACTTTGTGTTCCCCAGACTGAAGTGTACCTGCTATGTAGTCTCTTTCTCCCGTCTCATCTATTCCTTCCATTTTCTCGAATTTCCATCTGTTTTTATGAGCAGAGCAACCCCACCTCCCCCCCCTCCCCCTTCTATCTTTCCTCATGATCTGGTATTCCTGGTGGGAAGATTGCATCTGTTATTGTCTCCATGAGTTTTGTTTCTGAAAACTGCTATGATGTCTGGGGACTTCTCATTGATTCTTTCTTGCCATTCCTCATGTTTATTCGTTAATCCATCTGCATTTGTGTACCAAACCTTCAACTTCTGTTCTAATACTGTAACTGTGGTGCGGGGGGTGGAAACAGAGGATGGGGTGTGTGATGGTTGGTTTGGATTGTTCAGTTGCCTTGGGGGGTGTCGTGGCTGGAGTCCTTCTGCAGGTGTTTCTGGGGGGTGCACTTGTCCTTCCATTTGATCCTGGATTATTTGCTCTCCTTTTTTATTTCCTCCCATTTCTCCTTTCGTTTTTGAACTCTCTCTTTCATTGTCTTCCTTTCGTCCTGTGTTCTGTCTCGATCGAGGTACACACTCCGGAACTCCTGTTGCCTCTCAGCCATGCTTTCTCCTGCGGGATCAGGGTTTCGGGTTGATTCTGCCTTGAAAATTACTTTGAGGGGCCCAATTCCTTTTCTTTGTGAACCACCCAATTCTCCGAAAATTTGCCCCCTGGGTCATGTTCCCCCTCGCCTATCACCTTCATGATATTTCAATAAACTTTTTTCTCCTCCTGCTTTCTTTCATCATAAGTTTCCCCATTAGCTTCGTCTAGCCCATAGACAAACACGGATCTTTCCCTTTCCACCTCCCACTGTGACTCCATTGCATTCTCTGATGTGTTTTAGTTCCTTCCCGTGGAGTTTTCCTTCCTTCAGTCCCTTCCCTAGTTATTGCCCTATGCTTCTTTTTTTATCCTTCCTGCTCACCTGCTCCTGGCCCCCACAGGTATTGGAAAGGGGTCCTTGCACATGTCCTAGTTCCTTCAATGTCTTCCAACCTCTCATTCTGCCCTAGTGTGCTCCCTGTCTTTGTTTTGGCCCCATGTGGGTTTGACAGGACCTCTGCATACAGTTTGGGTTCCATGCTTCCTTCAGCCCTTTTTGTCTGTGTTTGATGTAGCCATTGCCGATGCTACTTCTGTAATATCTTTGTCTCTGTGCTGTTTCAGATGTTCAGCTCCCTTTCTAATCTCTCTATCTTGATTTCTGCTGCTGGGGCCCTGTTGCTTCCACCTTCTGCATTTCTGCTGCTAACCTCTCTTCCATCTTCCTTTCCAGCTCATCTAGTCTCCTTCCCCGTCTTCCTCCCTTTTTTTGAGCTCACCTCCATTCCTCCCTCCCAGATTCGTCCTTGGAGCCCCTTGCCCTCATCCGGGTTAGGGGGAGGGGAATAGATGGTTAGGAGAGGGGATGGATGGTTGTGGGGAGGGGGAGGATGGTTATTGGAGGGGTAGAGATAGTTGGGG